ACCAGAGCAGCCCTCTAAGCTTCAAGCAGCCCTCGCCTAACAGCTTGCACTTGCGACTGGGCCCACTCTTCACCCTACACGACCTTCTACATCGGAGCGTGGCGCAGTGCCACGCCGGGTTACGGTGGAACCAATCTGACGTGCTTGGAAAGCGTCCTAATTTTTGAGATTACCTGGGCGGCAGCGTTACTCATGAACCTGTTGAAGTCAATAATGTAGATCAGACCGCCCGAGACGTCGTCGTCGTCATCAGTGCCCTCTTGGCCGTTGGTGAGCTGAAATGGGTTTCATGGAAGCCTGAATCAACCTCTCTACACTACTCGTGTCCTTACCTGGGTAAGGGTTGCTTTGTCAATTGGTCGACCGACCATACGACTTCCTATACCTCCGTTCGGAGAGGAATTTTGGTCAGGGATCAGAATCGCAGCAATACTGGGACTATTCTGAAATTCAAGACAAAATAAATCAACAAGATCATGTGCACTTCGTTGGACACTTTTCAAACCTGATCACTCGTTTGTGCAGCGGTTGCTGCGGCCACTTGAGCGAAACCCTGACCACTGGTCTGAAAAGACGTCACTGTGCCCATGGGTTCTTTTCAAACGACTTTTAGTGACCCACCTGACCAACATCTGTTGCGCCTTCACCGTTCCCCACTACAGAACCTCTTTCAGAATCGCTCGGGAGATACGTGCCTCTTGGGAACGAGAAAGGCTTGACATTGTTATACCTCACAGGCTGGGCATTCTGAAATATAAGAGAATCACCCTAGAATGCGCCACAAAGGCGGGATAACCCGGATTGTGGACCGCACCGGGGAGTGGTGAGGTCACTACCAACGCAGGTAAAACCAAAGGTAAAGGTCAATAACTCACGCTTCCAGCGTTTGTGTTCGGCTGCGCAACAGACCCGAACTGGCTCGTAGCAGCTGCAACCTGAGACGGTGGAGGTCTGACCTGGTACGCAGCTGGTGTGCCTTGGTTCCCAATTGGTCTAACCTGGTTCGCAGTCGGTCCGACTTGGTTCGCGGCAGGTCTGACTTGGTTCGCCGTTGGTCCGACTTGGTTGGGAGCTGGTCTGACTTGGTTCGGCGAAGCCGGCCCCGCTGTCCTGGCCGGCCCGCTTGATCCTGCTGCGGTGTAGTCGACTGGGTTGTTCCTTGGCGATCTTGCTGCCGTTTGCTGCACTTGTTCGGCATTGTTGACGCCAGAATAGCCATTGTTAGCCACTCTGTATATTTGCTGGCTAAGACCAACCAAAGCTATCAAAAGGAAGTATTTCATTCTGAAAATAGTGCATGTAGTCTGAGATATCAGTGTAGAAATCGGGTTATCGATTGGTGCGCTATTTCTGGGACAGCGAGAGCATTCTTTCAGAAGAGCAGATCAAAGTCGCCAGGAAGTAGATATGTTAGCTACTAGAGTGCACACAAAAGTCAAAAACTTTGCTATGGACGTTGCAATCAATACCTACACATTACATTAGAAATGAGACTAAAACACCAACAGCGACTACGTTGGACCTTGAGATTTCAGCGGGAGCACCGTAGTCGTGAAGTAACCTGTGGAGTAACCTCTTATGAGGTAGTGGCGTTTTATAGACATCATCACCTTGTAAAACTTTTTTCGGGCTAATTTCGATTTCAACTGGCGCGGCATTCGACCGCTGATCTG